AAATTTTTTTTTTTTTTTTTTTTTTTTTTGGCCACGCCGCATGGCTTGTGGAATCTTAGTTCCCCAACCCAGGGATCAAACCCAAACCCGAACCCAGGCTCATGGCAGTGAAAGTTCAGAGTCCTAACCACTGGACCGTCAGAGAATTCCCTATTACCAACGTTTTTTTAAACTAAGTTTTATTGGAGTATAGTTGACTTACAATGCTGTGTTAGTTTCTGCTGTACAGCAAAGTGAATCAGTTATACATATACATATATCCACTCTTTTTTAGATTCTATTCCCATATAGGTCATTACAGAGTATTGAGTAGAGTTCCCTGTGCTATACTGTAGGTTCTTATTAGTTATCCAGTTTATACCTATTACCAACATTTTAAAACTAAAAATATTCACATCAAAACTTCACTCAAAACGTAATAAAGTCTAGGGCTTCCCTGGTGGCGCAGTGCTTGAGAGTCCGCCTGCCGATGCAGGAGACGCGGGTTCGTGCCCCGTTTCGGGAAGATCCCACATGCCGCGGAGCGGCTGGGCCCGTGAGCCATGACCGCTGAGCCTGCGCGTCCGGAGCCTGTGCTCCGCAAATGGGAGAGGCCACAACAGTGAGAGGCCCGCATAACGCAAGGAAAAAAAAAAAAAAAAAAAAAAAAAAAAAAAACGTAATAAAGTCTAGTCTCACTGGCCCACAGGCCCAGCCCACTTGGCAATCATGGGAGCAGGTGTGCATTCAGACGATCCCGACACACACCCTATTCTTTTTTTTTTTTTACACCCTATTCTTTTTATCGGTAGGAACAGTTCTCATTACTGCTCCAGTGCTCCCCATAAAATCTCCAAAGAGGAATTTGTATGCCCATAACTTTTCACTGAATATGCCATATTATAGAGATTCTGGCTATCCTGTTATGCTTTTACAAAGATCCTTTGGTATTGAACTTTTTTTTTTTCTTTTGCGGTACGCGGGCCTCTCACTGTTGTGGCCTCTCCCGTTGCGGAGCACAGGCTCCGGATGTGCAGGCTCAGCGGCCATGGCTTATGGGCCCAGCCGCTCCGCGGCATGTGGGATCTTCCCGGACCGGGGTACGAACCCACGTCCCCTGCATCGGCAGGCGGACTCTCAACCACTGCGCCACCAGGGAAGCCCCTGAACTATTTTTAAAAACATTTTATTTCTCAACTTTTTGTTTTGAAAAGCTTCAGCCTACAGGAAAATGGAAAGACTAACAAAATTAGCACCCATTTACTCTTTACGTAGATTGACCTTGCTTTCTTTCTATATAGATGTATACATGCATGTGTGTGTGTGTGTGTGTGTGTGTGTGTGTGTGTGTATGTATTTATAGCTCTATAACTGTAGAGAGAAAGGGAGAGAGAGTGTGTTTGGTTTACTTTTGTTGGCTGAACTATTCAAGGTAAGTTGTAGACATCACATAGACCCTAAACCCTTCTGCAGGCACCTAAGAACAAGGGCACTCTACATGACTACGACAGAATTACCTAGCTTAAGAAATGTCACATTGTCCTCATAACTAACAATTAGTCCATATTCGGATCCCCCCATGTTCACACGTCCCAGTAATGTCCTCTATAGCTTTTTCCCCCCAATCCAGGAACCAATCAAGAGTATGGCATTGCATTTTGTTGTCATGTGTCTTTAGTCTCCTTTAATCTAGAATAATTCCCCGGCTTTGTCTTTTGTCACCTGGACATTTTTGAAGCACCCCCCACCCCCACCCCAGGTCAGTTGTCTTGCAGGCGACTCCTGCTTTTCTTTCTGGGTTTTTGCAGCGTTTGAGTTTGTCCCTCTCTGCACAGCATGGCTGGCTAGCAGTGCCTGGAATTGAATGTTTGCAGTGCCACCTAGTGGCGTCATGTGCCGGGAGCTCAGGAAAGCTCTGGGGCATTGGGGAAAAAATAAAAAATAAAAAACTGGAGATGTTGGAAGTGCCCCACCCGGGAGGCAGGGCCTGGGGGCTGATGGGATCCAGACTTCGGAGCCCCAGTGCAGGGAACAGTTCCTCCCTCCCTGTCTGGGGCCTGCAAATCTCAGCTCCCCCGGCTGAGTGCCTGCCTGTACGGGACCCTCCATATCTGCATCCCTGTCTCTGTGCCTTGGTTCAAATCCTGGTTCCACCACAACTACCTGTGTGAACTTGGGCAAGTTTCTTCACCTCTGTGTGCCTCAGTTTCCTCATTTGTAAAATGAGGACAATAATATCTCTACCTCACACTGCCCTGAGGAGTAAACGAGCTAATATTTGTAATGCGCTTGATGCACAAGAGGTGTTGTAGAAACATAAGCCATTCCGTGTCCACGTGGGACAGTCTGTGTGTGAGGGTCTCTGCATTATCTGTGAGGTTGGGGTGGGGTGTGTGGCCGTTACTCATTCTACCAGGCCTGGTCTGACCCTGACCCCTTCCCACTCCCAGGACTATATCCCCACAGAGGGTGAACTGCTATTCCAACCTGGGGAGACCTGGAAGGAGCTGCAGGTGAAGCTCCTGGAGCTGCAGGAGATGGACTCCCTCCTGCAGGGCTGCCAGACCCGCCGCTTTTACATCCAACTCAGCAACCCCAAGTTTGGGGCCCGCCTGGGCCAGCCCCATTCTGCCACTGTTATCATTGGAGGCCAAGGTAGGCAGAGTCCGGGGTCAGCTTAAGCAGGGCTGGGGGCTTCTTGACAGTCTTAGCAAGTAAAAATACAGGACGCTCAGTTAAATTTGAATCTCAGATAAGTAACAACCACATTTGTAGTATAAGTATGTCCCATGCACTATTTGGGATGTACTTATGCTAAAAAAGTGTTTGTTGTTTATCTTAAATTCCAATTTAACTAGGTATCCTGCCTTTACCTGGCAGCCCTACTCTCAGAGAGGCTGGGGTCATGGGGCCACCGGCCTGCTGCTGGCTGTGAATCCCACCACTAAGGGCCTTATTATAGCCCTTTCACTTCAGCCTTAATTCCAGCTAAAATGCAGGTGTTTCCAGAAGGGGTGAAACACTTCTTACGGGTCCTGAGAACTGTATAGTGGGCTCTGTGAGCCCAACTGGAGAGGCTTGCCGAGAAGATGGGGCAGGAGGCGGAGTCTTGGGGTCCAGGAGTGATGGAGGGCGTTGGGAGGAGCCAGATGTTCTCACGTGGGACACACCCTCGGCTGCCAAAGGGAGAGAGCAAACTCGTTCCTCCTTCTCATCCCTCCAGAGACCCTCCTGGGCCCCCCCAAGTTTGGCAGGATGCCCTGTGCTTTACTAATGGGGGCACCAGCCCTCTAGAGACCCCCTTTGGCAGGTCTCAGTTGAGGGGGGTGCAGGGAAGGAGCGTTGATGTTTTAACTGGGCTTCTGGCGCCCCCTGGTGGCGACGGTGGGTTCCTGCCCCCCTCAAAGCAGCGGGGTATCTCAGCTGGCTGCCCTGCCCTGGTTTGACCCACTACAGATGAACTGGACGGGAACTTAATGGGCCAGACCCTGTCATCAACCCCACTCCCCCGGGGTGACCTGGGTGCCCCACAGAACCCCAATGCCAAGGCCACCGGGTCCCGGAAGATCCACTTCAACTGGCTGCCCCCTCCTGGCAAGCCAACAGGGTACCGGGTAAGGTGGGGGGCGATGAGGGTGGTGGATGGGGGAGGCTGGGCACATAGTGGGGAGGTGGGCCACTGGGGGGGCAGAGGGCCCTTGAGGGAGAGGAGAGGGTATGCTTGGCCTCAGTGGACAGGGGAGCCCCCATCTGTACCCTGGGGGAGAGGCAAGTTCCTGGACTGTGGCCCCACCACCCCAGAAACACCTCTGCTCTGCCCCAGCCCTGCTGTGTGAACCTGGCAGGTCACTCGGTCCTGTCTGTGCGCAAAGTGGGTACCAAAGACAGGGCTCAGTGGAGGGATGGTCAGCTTTGCCAGCTGCTCCCCACTGAGCCAGCCCCGCCCCGGGAGCAGGTAAAGTATTGGGTCCAGGGTGACTCTGAGTCCGAAGCCCACCTCCTGGACAGCAAGGTGCCCTCGGTGGAGCTCACCAGCCTGTACCCGGACTGTGACTACGAGATGAAGGTGTGCGCCTACGGGGCGCAGGGCGAGGGCCCCTACAGCTCCCTGGTGTCCTGTCGCACTCACCTGGAAGGTGAGGCTTCTTTCTGTCCATCCACCCGTCTGCCCCCCAGCTACCCTGATGCCAGCGTGCCCAGCCGTGTCCCCCGACCCCTTAGAACTCTGCCCTGTCTCTGCGGCTGACAGCTCTCTCCCTGCATCCCCTCCCCCTCCAGTTCCCAGCGAGCCAGGACGTCTGGCCTTCAATGTCGTCTCCTCCACCGTGACCCAGCTGAGCTGGGCTGAGCCGGCCGAGACCAATGGCGAGATCACAGCCTATGAGGTCTGCTATGGCCTGGTCAACGAGGACAGCCGTAAGGATCTGGACCTCTCCTTCTGCCGCCAGGGAGGGAGCAAAGAGTGGGAGGAGGTCACAGTGTCCTGGGCAGTGGATGAGCCCATATGTCTGATTGCCTGGGGCATCGTTAGGTCTGTGGTCAGGTTTGGGCTGAGTTGCATTCTAAAGCCAGGCCCAGAAGCTCCCAGGGCAGGTAGGGATGGAGGGCCTGAGATTATATATGTGCAGTGGGGTCACAGGTCCAGGGCTGCCTGCCCACGCAGGTAACGAGAATGGCTCAATTCTACACGGTTCTCTTAGGGCCAGAGTAGAGTTGACAGATTTAGCAAATAAAAGCAGAGGACGCCCTGAACTTCAAACAGACAATTTTTCTAGTACATTTCATGCAATATTGTATCTGGCAGCCCTAGGCCAAAGCACCTGGCAGAACTGTTATTTTTCTCCCAGTCCTGGAAAGGGGAGGGACCACCCCTGCCAGTTGTCAGGATGAGAAACTATTTGAGGGAACTTGGTCCTGCCTCTCGCCTGGTGCAGGGCCCTTCTCCTTGCGCTCTCACCTCTGTTTGGCCCATCTCAGGGATGGAGAGCTTACCACCCCCAAGTAGGACCCGTGGACCCTAAAGTGAGTCAGGCTTACCACCCCCAGGGTGGCCCAGCAGGGCAGAGGGCAGCAGGATTGTTCTGGGTCTCAGGCTCCTTGCTCTTTACTAGCCTGGCTGACCAAGCACAGCCTTCTCAGCAGCTGTATCACATCCTTGGCTCATTATGAGTTTACAACACCTGGTCCACCCATGGACCACTGTCAGGAAGTGTTTTCTGACCCAGCCTTTAATCCCAGGAATGACTGATGGTTTCAGCCCACGGCCTTAGCCTGCTGAGGCCTCCGCTGTGTCACGAACGTGTGAGGCAGGCCCAAGGGCCTCAGCAACTTTGGGGTGGCCCCCTTCCCTTCTCCGCCTGGTGGACAGAGATGAGAGAGGGCAGTTAGAGACCTCCCCCGGCTGACAGCCCAACATCAGCCAATTCTTGGAGCACAGCTGTTTACTTACCAAACAGCATCAAGGGACTTCCCTGGTGGTCCAGTGGTTAAGAATCCATGCTTCCACTGCAGGGGGCACGAGTTCGATCCCTGGTTCGAGAATTAAGATCCTGCATGCCACGCGGTGGGGCAGACAAACAAACAGCATCAAGCTTAGCAGGTGTTGTTTTTCCAGAGCCCTCCTTTGGACCCCTTGGAAACTGGGACATTTTCTGGTCTCCCAGACGTCTTCCAACATAGAGGGGCCCATCTTGTCACATGGGGGCCTAGGCACCGTAACTTGCTTAGAGCAGCCTGGGGTCTCTTCCTTCTCTCAACCAGGGCTTGCGTCCATCCTTCTAGGTGTGGGGGAGACCTGCTTCCCCTCTGCTCTCGCCCTTAGCTCTCACAAGCCTCAGCCTGTCCTCAGGTGCAGGTTCAGGCCTGCCTCTCTCCTCCCGTCCCTGCCCAGGTGACCAGGGCAGCCGTGCATCTGGGGTTTGGTTGTGGACAGGGAGGCACAGGTGCTGAGGGCGCCCAAGCCTCTGGGGCCAGCGTCACGCAGACGCACATGGACGCAGGACCCTTTACCAATTGGTAGAGGTGACAGTGGGGCCGACTTGAGTCTAGTCTGTTTCTGCCAGTTAACTTAGAGATGAGCCGCATGGAACCTTCTCTAAGCCAGTCACACCCAGGTTCTCAGGGCTTGGCATGCAGCTGGGGTTCAACAGTTGCTCGCTCCCTGACTCGTTCCCCAAACACCTGGGTGCAGTTCAGGGGCTGTGCAGCAGTCCTGGTGCACCAGAGGCGGGGACCAGGCCAGAAGCTGGATGACCCCTCTGAAGCACCCTCCCTGTGCCAGGACCCATCGGGCCCATGAAGAAGGTGCTGGTGGACAGTCCCAAGAAGCGGACGCTGCTCATTGAGAACCTGCGGGAGTCCCAGCCGTACCGCTACACGGTCAAGGCTCGCAATGGGGCAGGCTGGGGGCCTGAGCGGGAGGCCATCATCAACCTGGCCACCCAGCCCAAGCGGCCCATGTCCAGTGAGTGGTGGGTGGGAGGCATAGGGCAGACAGGGGCGGGCAGGAGACCGAGGCTGGGGCCCTGGCTCACCTGCTCCCACCCTGCAGTCCCCATCATCCCGGACATCCCCATCGTGGACGCCCAGAGTGGGGAAGACTACGAAAACTTCCTCATGTACAGCGATGACGTGCTCCGCTCCCCGACTGGCAGCCAGAGGCCCAGCGTCTCTGATGACACTGGTGAGTGGGCCTGGGATGCCTGTGAGGAAGGTGGGCGTCCTGGGTGGAGGGTGGGGCTGTCACTGGTGTCCAGAGAGAGCCAAGGGGCCAGTGAGCACTCCAGAAGTCCCCTCTCAGCCCCAGGCGAGCATCTACAAAGCCGACGGTTTGGCAGGCACCACACTGGCTCTGGATACAGAGGGGACAAAGCCGACGTGGCCCTAGTGAATAGTGTGCACGTCTGTGTGTGAGGACAGGCAGAAAGACATGTGCTTGGGGCACATGCACACAGGCTCGCGCACATGGGACTGGAAACACAGTTTTGAGACTGGAGGGCTCATCAGCAGTGCCGTGGAATCAGGCCACCTCCCAGGGACAGGGCTATGTGGGAGGAGGCAGGCCTGGCTCTGGGCCCCACAGAGCAGTGTCTCCCCACACTGGCCCTGTTCCTCCTCCTTCCTTGATTCCTGTACAGTGTGATGCAAAGAGCCCTCGACTGGGACTCTTGGGGACTCAGTTTCAGCTCTGGCTCCACTGCAGGAATTCAGATGAATCACCCTCTCTGTGCCTGTTTTCTGATCTGAAATGGGATGCCAATCACACACTGCCATTAGTGAAAATCCTTCAGGATTTGTATTTTCTTCCATCCTTGCCTATACCAGGCCTCCATGGTGTCAAGCCTGGGTTTAACGAACCCAAGCCCAAGGGTCTTGAGAGTTTTGAGGGTCTGAAGTAAAGAGCAGCTGGTGCGCAGCAGGTGCCCCAGCTCAGCTGCACTACACTTGGCTGCCTGTGACACACTCTGGCTGCTGGAACTGCCCCTGGGAGGCCGGCAGGGGAGAGCTCACTCCCTCCGTTATCCAGACGGGAAACTGAGGCTCAGAGCAGGGAGTCCTCACAGCTGGCGGCAGAGCCCAGGCTCTGGTCCAGGGGTCTCCCCTCGCCAGCTGCAGCCCGGGCCGCCCTCTTCCACCTCTCGGGCGAGGGCCTCGCCAGCCACCGGGCTCCCTGGCACACACCCGGATCCCAGAGAGCCAGAGGATGGGCTCACGTCACAGCGCTGCCCGCCTCCTCCCCCAGACCCTCTGCGCAGCCGCCCGCGCCCCCACCCCCGGCGGTGCCAACGCGGCCCTTCGTTGTTCCCAAGGCGGCAGCGGCTGGAAGTTCGAGCCCCTGCTGGGGGAGGAGCTGGACCTGCGGCGCGTCACATGGCGGCTGCCCCCGGAGCTCGTTCCGCGCCTGTCGGCCAGCAGCCGGCGCTCCTCCAACGCCGCCGAGCCGCCCCGCGGGCCCCTGGACGACAGCGCTGCCGATGGGGGCGCGCGGGGTGCCGGCGGGGAGGGAGGTGACCGGCCTGCCCTGACCCGCACCCACCTAGGCTCGCTGGTTTGCTGCCTCTGGGCTCCAGCCAGAGCCCACCGCGGCCAGGCTGCCCAGCTGCCACCCCAGAGCCAAGGGACCCCAGGGCAGGCGCTGGGGCTCTCCCCAAAGCTAGACTGCCCCCAACCTTCCAAGTCTGTTGTGTCCAGGGCAGGCCCTGGTGCCCAAGGAGACCCCTCAGAGGCCTCAGGGGACCCAAGGGCAGGCGTTTGGGCTCTCCCCAGGGCAGGGCCAACTGCAGGGGCAGTGAGTCCCTGGCTAAGGTCAGCGGCCGTCTATAGGGGCGTCCTGCCGGGCCACAGGACCTGAGTTGCAGACGCCTAGGGGGCCCTTGTACTCCTCCAAGGACCTCTGTCCCTGGCGGGCCAAGGGAAGCAGGTTGTTTTTATGCCAAGGGCCCCCAGAGGGTAGGTAATCCAGGGAATTCCCAGGGCCGCAGCCTGCCCCGAGGGGCTCCAGGTCTGGTGCGGGCCGGTCCGGTGACCCTGCTCTACCCCACAGAGCACCTGGTGAACGGGCGGATGGACTTTGCCTTCCCGGGCAGTGCCAACTCCCTGCACAGGATGGCTGTGAGCAACGCCGCCTACAGCACCCACCTGAGCCCACACCTGCCCCACCGTGTGCTGAGCACATCCTCCACCCTCTCGCGGGACTACCACTCGCTGACCCGCCCGGAACACTCGCACCCGTCCGCGCTGCCCGGGGACTACTCAACCCTCACCTCCCTCTCCTCCCAGAGTGAGTGCCCGCCGCCTCCCCTGCTCTCCCCTAATCTTTCCTCTTCCAGCTCCTGGAGGCTCGGGCTGCTGGCCTGCCGTCCCCCTCCTGCCCATCCTCTGACGTGCACACTTCCTGCCCTCTCACTCTTGTTTTGTCCTGCCCTAGGCCTCCCTCCCATCTGGGAACACGGGAGGAGCAGGCTTCCGCTGTCCTGGGCCCTGGGGTCCTGGAGTCGGGCTCAGATGAAGGGGGTCCCCCACTCCAGGGGCTCAAGAGACTCTATAATCCTGGCTGGGCAGCCAGCAGCACCCTCTTGGGGCCCAGGTAGTACAGGGGTGGCCATCCTGTGCCTCCACAGCTGTCCTGCACCATCTGTCACCCATCCGCCCACCGCCGCCACTGCCCGTGCCACCTTACCCTCCATTCCATCCACATCAGCGCTGGTGCCTAACGCAGCTTCTGTCCTCTGGGAGTGCTGGGCTGGGGCAGGAGAGGGGCCAGGCCAGCTGAGGAGGGTGGGGGCCGGCTGACTCACGGGCCCTTCTCGGCACAGGCAGGGCCCGTACCCACGTCCTGCACAGGACATTCAGGAGGTGCCGGGTGGCCTGGACAGGGTGTTGCAGGGTGAGTGGGCCACCTGGCCAGCGGTCCACGCAGGCGCCACAGCCGAGGGCGGTCAGGGCTAGAACTAGCCTGCCCAGACACCCCCGACACCGGCTGACTGTGGCCTGTCTCCAGGCTCCCGCTTGGCTGCAGGTGTGCCCAACACACCCACCCGCCTGGTGTTCTCAGCCCTGGGACCCACGTCTCTGAAAGTCAGCTGGCAGGAGCCGCAGTGTGAGCGGGCGCTGCAGGGCTACAGTGTGGAGTACCAGCTGCTGAATGGCGGTGAGGCACGGCTGCTGTCGGGCTGACACACGGGGACACCCGACTGTCAGGAATCCACCCAAGTCCCTTGAACACTAATGCTCCCCCCACCACCCACCCTTCTGAGAGAGTCTCTTCTAAGACTCCCACTGCCTCTTCTGATGAGTCCTCATCCACCTCCCTAGGCCTCTCTCCAAATCATTCCCACTGCTAGGTTTTACCTAACAAGGCCTCACCGGCCTAGGGACCCAGGGCCTCTGCTGGCCTATGAGATGTCTTTTCAGGAGTCGGGAAGTGGCACTTCCGTGGGCAGACACACTCGCGGCAGCATGACCTGGGCCCATAAACAGCCAACAGACACAGATGGGATTTCAGGTTCCACTCATCCCTTGTATAGCGTACAACCTGAACAACCAACCATACTATACAAGGCTGACCCCACCTGTACCCAAGCCACAGCTAATGCTGGGTGGGTGGTGGCTAGATCTTGACAGTAGCCTAGGGAAGGGGTGGGATCAGGCCGGGGATAGGAATAAGGAATGCTGCTGCTCTGCTACCTGCCTCCATCCCCACCCAGGTGAGCTGCATCAGCTTAACATCCCCAACCCCAGCCAGACTTCGGTGGTGCTGGAAGACCTCCTGCCCAACCACTCCTACGTGTTCCGCGTGCGGGCCCAGAGCCAGGAAGGCTGGGGCCCAGAGCGCGAGGGTGTCATTACCATCGAGTCACAGGTGCACCCACAGAGCCCACTCTGCCCCCTACCGGGTGAGTTGCCCCCCACCCTGACAGTGGTCCCCCCCATCTTGTACCCACAAACCCACTCACCCACCAACACCCTTCCTCTGCTGTCCCCAGGCTCTGCCTTCACTTTGAGCACGCCCAGCGCCCCGGGCCCACTGGTGTTCACTGCCCTGAGCCCAGACTCTCTGCAGTTGAGCTGGGAGCGGCCGCGCAGGCCTGATGGTGACATCCTCGGCTACCTGGTGACTTGTGAGATGGCCCACGGAGGAGGTGCTGCCCGCCCCAGGGTCAGGGGGACCAGGGGAAGGGTGGAGAGGGAGCCACCGAGGCTAAAGGCATCTTCCCTGCCCAGAGCCTGCCACCACGTTCCTGGTGGATGGCGACAGCTCCGAGAGCCGGCTGACGGTGCCAGGCCTCAGCGAGAACGTGCCCTACAAGTTCAAGGTGCAGGCCAAGACCACCCAAGGTTTCGGGCCGGAGCGTGAGGGCATCATCACCATCGAGTCCCAGGCTGGGGGTAGGCTGCCTCACCCCTTCTCCACCCGCACCCCTTCTCTGGCCACGCCTTCTCCTGGCACCATCCCCTGACCGGCCCCTCTGCCCACTCCAGGCCCCTTCCCACAGCTGGGCAGCCACTCGGGGCTCTTCCAGCACCCAATGCCAGGAGAGTACAGCATCACCACCACCCACTCCAGCACCACTGAGCCCGTCCTACTGGGTGAGTTGCCCGGCGGGGGCTTCTGTCTCTCCCGGGGGAGCACAGTGCCAACAGAGGAAAGGGGGTTGGGGACCCAGGTGGACCCTTCAACACCTCTTCCCCTGCAGACGGATTGACGCTGGGGTCCCAGCACTTGGAAGCCCATGGCTCCCTCACCCGGCACGTGACACAGGAGTTTGTGAGCCAGACACTGACCACCAGTGGAACCCTCAGCACCCACGTGGACCAACAGTTCTTTCAGACCTTTCAGACCTGAGCCCCCGACCCCCACCTCCTCACTCTGGCGCTGCCTCAGCTACTCCATCCTTGGACCCCTGGCGACCAGCCCACCCGCATGCTGATCACAGGGCCGGTGCCTCTGGCCAGAGCAGGGGGTAGGTGTCCTCTGGGAGGCACGAAGTGGTCCCGGAAGGCCCTTCGGTTGCCCTCCTACCCTGGGCCCAAGCCCATTTGTAACCAAAGAGCTAGGACCAGCATGACAAGGTCCCAGCTTTGTTCTGCACTTAATAAAAGATTTTGCTACTGCTTGGCTCTGCCCTGTCCATGTTTCTGGGGCCTGCCCAGAGCAGGGGAGCAGTTCTTATACACACCTTTCTCTGATGCCCAAGCACACATCCACCTCTGGAGACAGGCAGGTATCAGAGCCAGAGGTAATACAAGTTTATTGAGCACCCAGGTTGGAGGGCAGGCCTGCCGTGGGCCAGCCTGGGAGGGCCTCACAAGCACAGCACCTGGGCACCGTCGGCCGCCTGGGAAAGGTAGAAGGTGGCGGTCCCGCTGTACTGCCCCTGTAGGAGGGACGGGTGGGGTGGGGTCTGAGCACAACACCACGGCCCTAGGAACCCATCTCTCCCGCTCCCCCCAGTCTCTGGCACCTGCCCACCTGGATGTGCTGCATCACTAGGGAAGCGGCAGAGGCCTCCAGCAGGGTCACCGTGCAGCCACCAAAGCCACCGCCTGTCATGCGGCTGCCATAAACCCCGGGCGCAGAGAGCGCAGCCTCCACCAGCTGATCCAGCTCGGGGCAGCTCACCTCGTAGTCATCCCTGCAGAGGGGACATGGGGGGAGGTGGGAGGCCTTGAACAAGCCCCATCCGGCGCAGGGGACAGCCTGTGACCAGGAGGTGCTGGGCACCCGGGGATCTCACCTGAGCGAGTGGTGACTCTCCACCATGAGGCGGCCGAAGGCTCTGTAGTCGCCGCGGCTCAGGGCAGCTGCTGCCTGGGCTGTGCGCTGGATCTCACCCACCACGTGCCGCGCCCGCCGGAAGGCCTCCCCGCTCATCAGCTCCCTGCCAGCTGGGGAGGAAAAGGAGTCAGCAGACCCACCATCCACCGCCTCTGGGCCCCTGTGGACGTGGAGGGAGGGGCACGATGGCTCCAGGGCGCTGGCTGGGGCGGGGCCGGGGGCATCTCCAGTCTGACACCTGGTTCTGACCAACCAAGCTGTAGGTAGAAACTCGGGTTGGTGACCAAGGTTTCAGAGCCTCCCCTCCTCGACTACAAAAGGGGACACCCGCCTCATGTGGCGCGCAGGGAAGACTGAGCAGACACATGGAGTGCTCCCAGCAGGGTGCCTGGCACACAGTGGGTGCTCGATAAACAGCAGTTTGAGCCCCAGACTCTTGGTGCTTCCACGGTGAGTGGGACACAGTGCTGCCTTCAAGAGGCCAAGACAGAACAGGACGGAAAAGTCCCGCTGGTGTTTTTGCTGGAGTTAACAGCGAAGCCTCCGAGGGCCAGGGCTCCGGAGTTGGGATACAGACCAGGTCTGCCCGGGGCACCCCAGGGAACCAGCAAGCTGTCCCACTGGCTAACGCTGAAGCGGGCAGAGCAAGCTGAGTCGCTAATGGCAGCCCTGAGCACTTAGGACTTTACAACTTAACTCTGGGTGCCAGAGAGGTTTTTGGAGCAGGGGAGGCATGGAGCTGAGCTCTAGTTGATGAAAGTGACTGCCTTGCGCAGGGGGCCCTGCTGGGAGAAGCCAGCGCCAGGAGATGGCAGCTGTTAAAACAGTCAGAGACCAAGAGAGGCCGGGTGTGGGGAGGAAGGAAAGGCGGGCAGGGAGGACTCAGAGTCCTGAAGTTTCAGACAGCAGCGACAAGGGTGAGGAAATAACAGAAAAGGGGAAGTCAAAAGGAGCAGCGTCCATGGGCTTCCCTGGTGGCACAGTGGTTGGGAGTCCGCCTGCCGATGCAGGGGACACGGGTTCGTGCCCCGGTCCGGGAAGATCCCACATGCCACGGAGCGGCTGGGCCCGTGAGCCATGGCCACTGAGCCTGCGCGTCCAGAGCCTGTGCTCCGCAACAGGAGAGGCCACAACAGTGAGAGGCCTGCGTACCGGGAAAAAAAAAAAAAAAGGAGAGGCGTCCAGGGGAAGGAGGAAGAGTTCTGTCAGGGTGGGTCAGGCGAAGGCTGCAGGACCCCAGTGGGGGGCTGCTGGCTCCCATCTGAGTCCTCAGCGGAGCAGCAGTGGCTGGCGCTCTGTGCTGGGGACAAAGCCTGGGGCAGGCCTGGGCAGACAAACGGGGCTGTGACCAAGCAGATCTGGCACTGAGAGGGCAGGGAGGGCAACCCCCAGGTTTCTGTGGGGAACCCCTGGGAGAGTTGTCATGGCAGGTGGCTTGGGAGAGGGGCGGGCATATTCAGAGGATTTAGAAATGAGGAGAGATGAGAAAACGGGGGCCGTGAGCAATGGGTACTCTTCCCAGAGGACTGGCATGGGAAGGAGACTCCATTTTAGGAGGTTAGGAAACTGGGCATGTTTCAAAGCAGAAGGGGAGGAGCCAGGCAGAGGGGCAGAAAGGCAGGCAGATGGGAGCACTGTTCCTGAGGCAGAGGGAGACCCCCGGGGGAGGCAGCGGATGGAAGGGCTGAGGTGGAGGGAAGAAATGGCAAAAGTGCTCAAGTGTGAAAAGCTTGGCCACAGTCACCTGCAGAGAGCAGGTGGGGCAGGTCTGAAGGCGACAGTTCACCAAGGACAAGATGGTCTCTGAGATGGGCACCCCGACACTGCCAGGGAGGGCACAGCTCCCAACGTCAGCAGCCTGGCCCCTCAGTCAGGAGGATGGAGCTGATCAGCCTGGGTTCAAGTCTCAGCACTGCCACTTACTGTACATTCCCCAATCAAAAAAAAAAAAAAGAGAGAGAATAATAATATCTGCTCCACAGAGTTGTGAGAGAATTAAATGAGTTAATGTTTATATGACCTTTAAAGTGTTCAATAGGGCTTCCCTGGTGGCGCAGTGGTTGAGAGTCCGCCTGCTGATGCAGGGGACACGGGTTCGTGCCCCGGTCCGGGAAGATCCCACATGCCACGGAGCGGCTGGGCCCGTGAGCCATGGCCGCTGAGCCTGCGCGTCCGGAGCCTGTGCTCCACAATGGGAGAGGCCACAGCAGTGAGAGGCCCGTGTACCGCAAACAAGAAAAAAAAAAAAAAAGGGTTCAATAGACCTTCCTGGCCACGTGTATCAGGAAACTTAAAAATACACGTTATGGGAATTCCCCGGCAGTCCAGTGGTTAGGACTCCACGCTTTCACTGCTGAAGGCCTGGGTTCAATCCCTGGTTGGAGAACTAAGATCCCACAGGCCGGGCTGCCCTGGTGGCACAGTGGTTAAGAATCCACCTGCCAATGCAGGGGACACAGGTTCGAGCCCTGGTCCTGGAAGATCCCACATGCCGCGGAGCAACTAAGCCCATGCGCCACATTTACTAAGCCTGTGCTCTAGAGCCCACGAGCCACAACTACTAAGCCTGCACTCCTAGAGACCGTGAGCCACAACTACTGAAGCCCGCACGCCTAGAGCCCGTGCTCCGCAACAAGAGATGCCACCGCAATGAAAAGTCCGAGCACCACAACGAAGAGTAGCCCCCGCTCGCCACAACTAGAGAAAGCCTGTGTGCAGCAATGAAGACCCAACGCAGCCAAAAATAAAAACAAACAAACAAAAAAACAACCCATCACAGGGACTTCCCTGGCGGCGCAGTGGTTAAGAATCCACCTGCCAATGCAGGGGACAAGGGTTTGAGCCCTGTTCTGGGAAGATCCCACATGCCGTGGAGCAACTAAGCCCATGCGTCACAACTACTGTGCTCTAGAGCCCGCGAGCCACAACTACTGAGCCTGCAGGCCACAATTACTGAAGCCCACGCACCTAGAGCCCGTGCTCCACAACGAGAAGCCACCGCGATGAGAAGTACGCACACCGCAACAAAGAGTAGCCCCCGCTCGTCACAACTAGAGAAAGCCTGTGTGCAGCAACGAAGACCCAACGCAGCCAAAAATAAATCAATTTATTTAAAAAAAAAAATCCATCACGGTGTTAGGTATGATTATCAGAAAATGGTTAAGTAAATTACAGTGCACCTAGATGCTGAAATGCTATGTAGCTTTAAAAAGCCATGTTGATGACAGGCCTTTCATGACATACAGAAGGGCTCTGAGATCATGTTAAGTAAAAAAATTAAAAGGGCAGGTGCCAACACTGCATATACTCAACCTTGAGAATACAGATGTTGAAACTAACATAACATTGTAAGTCAGGGATATTTCAATTAAAACTTTTAAAACTGGGACTTCCCTGGTGGTACAGTGGTTAAGAATCCGCCTGCCAATGCAAGGGACATGGGTTCGAGCCTTGGTCCTGGAAGATCCCACATGCCGCGAAGCAACTAAGTCCGTGCGCCACAACTACTGAGCCTGCGCTCTAGAGCCTGCGAGCCGCAACTACTGAAGTCCACGTGCCACAGCTACTGAAGCCTGCATACCTAGAGCCCGCGCTCCACAATATAAGCCACCCCAATGAGAAGTACGCACACCACAACGAAGAGTAGCTCCCGCTCGCCACAACTACTGAAGCCCATGCACAGCAACAAAGACCCAATGCAGCCAAAAAGAAAAAAAAAAATTTTAATTAATTAATTTTAAAAAAGATACAGATGTAGAAAAACACTGGAAGGAAATATACTAAAATGCTAATAGTGGCTATCTCTGGGTAGTGATCTTATAGCTTGTTATTTTCTTCTTTGTACTTTTTTTTTTTTGGCTGCGTTGGGTCTTCATTGCTGCACACGGGCTTTCTCTAGTTGTGGCGAGCAGGGGCTACTCTTCGTTGTGGTGTGCGGGCTCCTCATGGTGGCTTCTCTTGTTGCAGAGCACAGGCTCTGGGCACTCAGGCTTCAGTAGTTGTGGCACACGGGCTCTAGAGCGCAGGCTCAGTAGTTGTGGCGCACGGGCTTAGCTGCTCCGTGGCATGTGGGATCTTCCTGGACCAGGGCTCGAACCCGTGTCGCCTGCATTGGCAGGCAGATTCTTAACCACTGCGCCACCAGGGAAGTCCTCTTCTTTGTACTTTTCTGTATCTTCCACGGTGGATACTTAATCCTCACATTAGAAAAAACAATATGGAGATTTCAAGCAGTCCTAAGTCAGCAGTATTGGGGGAGTGGGCAGAGCTTGGCAGAGGTCCCTGGAGGTGAGGGGACGTACAACCGGGTCAAAGCCACAGCGAGAGCTCGGCAGCCCC